CCCCCCCCCCCCAGAATCATCGTTTCAGAGCTTCTCCTTCTGCCTCCTCGGTGGTAAGAGCCGCAGGAGATAGAAAGTGGCTTTTTTTCCCCGATGGCTCCATTCTATTCATGGGGAGCTGCACCTGCTGGAAACCGGGTCCAGCTTCCAAAGGATGTTCAAAAAAAAAAAACACCGCAGTTCTCACACCAAAGAGACTCCTAAATGGGTCTGGTAGGTGTACGAAGACCTCTTCACCCTAAGGCGCCACAATAGAACTACCAACTAGCCTTTCCCGCCTGCTGTAGTGTGATCCTCTTAAACAAATTTTGCATAGAAACAACTTTTGCCTGGGAGTCATCCCCGAATTCCCAGCCAAACTCGAGTAAAAAATCAAAAACAAAAAAAAAGGTAATTTTTTTCTATAATAATTGAAAATGCGAGGCTCAAGGCCTCGGTAAGCCCTACTGGGCCCTGTTTCAGCCAGAACAGCTGCCCTAAGTGAAGGCGGGCCTGACAAGGCACGAGAGGCCTATTTTTGCTGGGTTGAACGCAGCTGGGAAATTCAGGTAGTTGCGCAGTGCCAGTTGGTTGAGTGCGCCCAGGCCCTGCCTTCCTTTTTCCAACTGAAGCTGAGGCAGGCCCTGGGCCAGACACGGGCCGTGGACTGAACACAGGCTGCTGGCAGTTGGACACGGGTAACCACCCCAGGCCCTACGTGTGATTCCCTGGGTCAGGGTCTCAGCCACTTGGGGCCTACCGGAAGCTCCTGGGCAGGGGCCCAGCGCAGCCAGGCAGCACGCAGCAGGCAGGCCACTTGATAAAAGAAAGTGCCTGCCTCCGCATGCGATATTCGGCCACTTGCTACTTGCTGCGCAAGCGCTGCTGCGCTACTGGCAGGCAAGCGCACACGCGCTCAAAGGCGAGCAGGGCACACGCAGGCAGCCATAGCCGAGCTGGCCTGCGAGATGCTCGATGGGGCGCACGGTGGTCCTTGGGTGCACGTGGCATCTGTGTGGGGGATCGAGGTTGTGAGTGATGCGTGAGACATACCTGGTGCTTGAGGCGAATGGCATTGCCCAAGATCTGCTCGCTCTTCGGGAAGCTGTTGACGTCACCAGCGGCATGGTAGACAGGCTAGATAGGATCTGCCCTTCATAGTCTGGGCGCTGAGTGCCAGATAGGGAATCAACATTGGTTCATTGTTGATGATGATGAGACTATTCCAACATTGTCACTTGTGAGCTTTTGCTGTGCTCTTATTTGGTGGAACTCGAGTTGCAATTCTGCTTTTGGTTCGAGGTCAGGACTATCTGGTTTCATGTGTATGATGCTGCTTGGTTTCTGGAATTCGCTATCACTCGTTTTCCTTGCATTTTGGTATCAGAGTTGTGGTACGCTGCGCTAATCTGGAGCTTGTCTTCTGCCTATGCGGTATATGCACGCGGTCAGCTGGGAGAGCGTTTTTGGGAGGTGTGTAGTGAGGAGGGCGAAGGCAAGCAGGCGACCCAGGCGGAGAGGGGTATCGCTAGGAAGGCTATGAGGTGATATTGGGTGTTTCACAGCGTGATGAGAACTATCTGATGTGCGATCGATGCTGAGGTGGAACGGCGGTGTAATGCTGGTTGTGTCAAAGCAATGATTGGTCATCACAATTGACGTCAGGTCATCTGGTGAGAATATCTGTGGTTGGGGGCAGCTATTTTGAGGTACGTTGCTCTTAACCTTATCTATCCTCTTCGACACTTCTTACCGTGAGGATGTGTGTTCTGTCTTGAGAGTCCTCTCATGTGAGGAGTCAAGTGCGCTCAACCTTGAGAGTCGGCATTGTTCACGTGGATCATCTGGAAGGAGAAGGCGGAGCTATCTGAAGGGCCCTGGACAAAGCATTGGGTCACAGTCACCATGCCAACCCACCGGGAGTAGAGCACGCATGCTTTGCTGCTTTGTCCTTTGTCTGCCTGCTGCGCTCTAGATGGATCATGAGGGGCAGGCCAGCCCTACAGGGGAGACGAGTACCTGACGTCTATAAATAAGTACCAGAGGGGTACCTTCCATTGGTTGTGATCGTTGTCCTGTTTGTGACATTAAATATATCCTGAGGACTTCAGGGGCTGCCCTTAAACTGCCTCTTGATCAACCAATCGGTCGGTGTAAGGCTCGTTGCACGCGAGGGTAAACATGGTGCAGCGCTGGCCAGCTCAGCATTGACACAAGGCACAAGGGTGGGCCGTGTGCACACCTTTAGACACGCACACTATCTGGATTGCTCAGGAATGCTGACGTCAAGCAACAATCAAGAAGAATTGAGGGAGGGGTAGATTTCAGGTGATAAGTTCGGGAACAATTCCACTCTGCCAATAACCATCCAAACGATTCTATTTTTATTTTGATTAGTTAGATGTACAACCATTAACATCTGACAGACATCATAGGTAGAACTTCTTGTTTCTGCTCATTTGCTTTCTGTTTGCGGACTAGTCAAGGTAGTTTCGTTTGTGGGAATCTGGACTTACCTGTTGGACCCAGTTGTGAATACTCTGACATTGCCACCGATTACTATTTTATTTATTTTAAATCGGTCTGAGCATAACGTTTCGATAGGCAATTGAGTCTGTCCTAGTGCAGACACTGCACGGTTCTGTAGCTTATGAGCGACAGGGAAAACCTTGACCTGGACGATAGGATCCTGTGTTCGTCAAGACGACCATTGGTCCACTTAGCGTTAGGACCAGAGGGTGATCGGTTTCTGTTCCGTCCGCTTAGGGAGAGGCAGCAGCAGCAGCAGGGACGCAGAGGCAAATAGAGCCTTCGCAAGTGAGGCAGCTACTTCAACAGCCATAGCAACCGCTGCGCATCAGAGTTCCCAGGCCGGTAGTTCAGGAACTGTTGGGGTGACGGTCGCACAGACCCTAAGTCAGTCCGCTGGCATGATGGCAAGCTAGCCGTTAGTGTTAACTCCTGAGGAGGTCGCCATACAGAGAGCAAGTGCTCATGAGGCACAACTACAGAAGGCGTTAGATGAGATATAGGCAGAGAAAGAGAGGATGATCAGACGGAGGTCAAGGATGCAGCGGAGACAAGCGGACATTAGAGAGTTGGAGGAGATGGACCTGACTAATATGGATGACGATGTGAGGACCGTGAGGACAACCTTGTTAGATGTAGTGGAGATGCAGGACTACCACACGTCACTATTGCAAGACATCAAGCGGAGCCTGGCCGTGGTGGTCGGGCGAGTTCAAGTCGTACCATCACCATCAAGGCCCGGTGCCTGGCCTGTGGTACAACCTCCTCCTTTTGTCCCACCGGTAACTCGAGTAGCCCCATTTGCAGTCTTTCCAGCTTCGGTGCAGGCCGCTTCTGATCTGAGTATGTCTTTGACAGGCGGGTTCACAACAGGCCCTAGTGTACAAATTCTTGTACAGACATTGTTCTCCCAACCTCCATTGCCGACTGTCGTAACAGGGCAGCCTGCTGTCTCGCAACCAGCACAGCCGCAGGGCACACAACCCCAGCAGCAGCCAGTGCAACAGCCTGCACCCCAGGGTCCACAGCCTGGAGTAGTGCAGGCACCGGGACAAGGATAGTGGGTTCCCAAGACTGCCATTGCATCGCCTAAATCCTTCTTAGGAGAGGGGTGAGGACCTCGACACATGGTTGAGGTCGGTGCCAATCTATGTGAAGTGCAAATTGACCTTGCCTTACGAGGAAGTGCTTGTGGCTGCCTCCTACCTGGAGGGGAGTGCAGCAAGGTGGCTAAGTGGGTACGTACAACTACAGGGATACGGTCATGAGTTCCGCGCTTGGTCAGTCACCCAGAAATTGGATGATTTCCTCAAGCTAGTGGAGGAAAGGTGGCATGATCCACAGGAGGCTCAAAAGGCCACTGATGCGATCCTGACCGTGAGCTCAAGAAAGTTCAGGTCAGTAAGGGATGGCACAGACGCAGTTGAGCGTCTGATCTGTGTACTTGGAGTGTGTTATGACCCCCAGGTCTTACTTACCACTTACCTGAGATGTCTTCCCATAGAGCTCAGGAATCAGTTGGCAGGTGAGGCAATGATCATAGTCCACAACTTTCCTTCATTTAGCAAGAAGGCCCTAGATCTAGAGGCAAAGATCGGACATGGGCACCAACCCACTACGGACGGTAGGAAGAAGGCACTGCCTCCTAACTGGAAGGCTAAGGGGCACATTATGTTTGTCAATAACGACAGTTCTACCACAGAGTTAGACGACGATTTCCAGGAGGGAGTAGGGTAAGAGTCGGGTAGTGCAAAAGCTTCAGGTGGTGGAGCAGCCTCAATTCAGAAAGGCAAGGCGACCGGTAGACACCGCGGAGGTTCCCGCTCTAGGAGTCAAGTAGACCCCAACGTTCCTCTATGGGAGAAA